TCTAGACATGTTATCTGTTTTAGACTAATCAAGACGGTATGACTGAAGGAAAGAAGAGAAGTTTACTTGTGTTTTTCAGAGTGAGTGCTTCATTCTTTAGTATAAGGTTACTTGCAATTGTTTCAAATGAGCCAGACTCTTTTCTCTCAGCCTAGGTGCCATAACCTTTAGTAGCATTAATGAGAACAGTTTGCTTCAAGAAGAAGCAACTATCCTTGTCAACCTCTCCCTTTTAAATCATAGTGCATTAGTGCTATTGAATAAAGAACTGCCTGGAAACATTATCCAAGTATTGTATTGAATTTCCACTTCCAAATTTAGCCTTCATGTTAACCTTCTGAGTGCTAGTACTTTGTCCATGGAAATACAGACCCTGGCACTACACCTGCCTATTTTGAGCCAAAGAGAGAACAAGAACATGTTGTCCTTCAGTTGTGTGTAGTATATTTGTAACATTTGAATGGGTAGTTTATTTGCGTGTGGAACTGTGCAGGGTGCTACTCTAATTGCAGAGATAAAGTTGAAATAAACAAACATGAATTAAATGCTTAATAGACTTCAGTTAGTGGCATTTCCATGATAAAGCTAACTAAACGGAACAAACCCAAAATACCTTATTTCATACATGCTGGAATTGTGATCAGCTAATCATTCATGTTGTGTGCAGAGTGAAATTGCTTGCCAGAGAATGGCACGTGCTATATACTGAAGGATGTAACATATACATATTTAACAGATAGCCTCTTTTATGGTATAGTTTTCACTTTGCAGCTGTCAAAACAAGACTGATGGAAAATTCATGCTTGGCAATTGTGTCACATCTGCTTCAGTAACTGTTAGGAAATAGACTACTCTAGTTACTGGAAGATACTGTGAGAGAGAGACCTTGCAAAATTTCTACAGTGCTAAGTTTTTTCCATGTTCCATGGGAATTTCAAAAGTAAAGGTGAGAAAGGCAGCGAAGTTGTATCTGTACCAAAAGAATGGTATTATGCCGGCTGGTAGAGTAAACCTTGCTGAATGATTATCCAAAGACAACCAAAAGATAGACTCCTCAGTAAATATCTGATACGTGTCAATGATTCTTTTAACACAGATTAAAAAGAAACAGTAAATGGAATAAAATGGAATAGAGTGGCCATCCGATTATTAGATCAACAGTGAGCAAACATCCACACTAATGGTTGTTACTGAATAATTCTGAAATTATTTTGGGAAGAATCTGTCAGTGCACATGCGCATACCTACAGGCAGTATGCAGCACGAGCGCTTTGGAGGTACAGAAAACACTAACTGGTCAGAATGCGCTGAGGTTGGCTGGAAGCTCAGCCCAGTAGCTTTGTCTTGACTGAGTCTGTTTGTTTATTTCAACTTTTTCTACCCGCATCAATGATGGTTAGGGTCATCCAGTTTGTCATTCTTGATTGTATTATGGTAATACAGGCTGAGGCATCCACTGAGACTAGGCCCTCTTGGGCTAAGAAATGTACAAGTGTCTAGTGTAAGAGATTCTGCCCCCCAAAGACTGTAGAGGCTAAATAAAGAAGGCAGACACAACGTGGAGAGCAAGAGAGCGTTATAATCCTGGATGAGCAACTAAGACAGGGAGACAGTAAACGAACAGTCAGCGGCCAAACAGAAATGGACAGGGATCGAGCCTAATAGGCACCTCTTTCTATCTCAATCACAGGGCTCTCCTTTCTCTTTCTGGGCGATACTAAATTGGTATTCTCAAGATTTTTCTTCATTTTCCTTGAAGCCTTCTGTGGCACAAGCCAATGGAAAAATGCATTTGGGCTTCAACAGAGTTCTTAGTACCCCAGTACTGTATTAGATCACTTAGTGTATTTGAAAACAGTGAAACTTCCTAGAGACAATTGGTCAGATCTATCTGGGAATTTAATTCTGTGATACGATATGGTTCTCAATGAGTTAATAAATGGAATCAGAGAAATGCTAGATCATCTTAAACTTCACAGAGGAGCAAGATCTAAATCTTAAAGTTATTCAGATGTTCAGACAGTATGGAGTCATGATTTAAAAGTTTTGATGTGATAATTATTTTAGAAGAGTGATTTACATTTAGTTTTAACTAACTCTCCACAATGAAGAAGTGCCCACAAATCAGGTACCAGATTCTCATTTCATGATGGGAAAAATAAAGGCCTCTTGTAATTAAGATGAGCCTTGCTACCAGTTTATGCATATATGTATCCTGTAAGGTTGTCTTGTAGCTTTCTTGTTTGTTTGTTTTCCTCCCCTGAACTGTAATCTGTCAAGGGAGAGCACTGCGCTTAAACACGCGGTATCCTATATCTGTTAAAATAGATTATTAAAGCTAGAGCAGGCCCACTGATCAGCAAGAACAGTGGCAAGTCCATAGGCTCCCCGAAGTTATCAGTGCATGTGGGGATTCATGCAAAAGTATCCAAAATAGATATCTATGCATGGATGAAAACTATTCTTTATCACTTCAGAAGTATTGATTCAGGAGTTTTTAAGGACTTTACACTAAATGGAAACTGGCAGTGGCAGTATCTATGGGTTAGTTAAAGATAATGGTGGATGCTTTCCAACTCAGAAATGTGCATGCCTGTACTACCTGGTGTGAGCATGCAGCAATTGTAATGGGAGTCAGCTGGGATTAAAGTAAAGTAACTTTTCATCACTGTTTGGTTTAACTGTTTCATTAATTTGCAAGTCAGTTACAACGCATTTTAAATTTAATGTAAGTATTACTCTGATAGTATCTGCATGTACCTCCTGTGTTCTTGTGCACACCTGAAATAATATGAATTCTGCTTTTGTTTTACAGTCAATGACTCTTTCTATCATGTTAGTGTCTGGACTTGGAAAGGGACAGAATAAAATCCTGTGTAACATATATATGAATTCAGTACTGTGTGGAGCTACTTCAGATCCTCAGGTGTCGTGCACCCTTATGCTTGGGTGTCCACGCAGTGTCATGTGCCCAGTCTGTCCAGTGGCTAGTCTGCCAGGAGTTCACAACAGTGGCAAATGAGGAAGGCAAATCAAAACTATTCTGAGCGCCTACTTTTAGTCAGGTAGGAACTATTTGGCAGTATAGGGGTATAATATGGGAAATGCAGTGTTTTAGAATCATACTTAACAAGACCTCCCGTTAGAAAAAGAAAACCTTAGAACTTTATTCTTAAGTAGTTCTAGGACTCGTCTGTTGTTGGAGAACCTGTGTTAGTATATGCTGGAATTGGACAGAGAAACGATCAGAGGAGATTTTAAGTAGTTGATAGAGAACATAGGAGCTGATAGAGATACTGACCCAGAATACAATAATTTTGTCACCCTCCCATTTGGGAAGGTGTAACTTGGAAAAAATCAGGACAAACAAAGTATTGTGTCAGCTGCAGCAGGTTTTGAACCAAAGTTCTTCCTCGTTTGACAAATGAGGTAAGTTGCTATTAAGGACCTCTGTTTCTAGGAGTAAAGCACTGCTAATCACATGGTAATGCACAGCCAAGCAATGTGCAAAACTACTTTGTTCCAAAGTTCTACTGTTCCATATTGCCATCTGTGGTCTGCAGGAGTCTGCATCGTCCTGGCTCCCTACGTCCTGGAGGCAGGTTTTGCTGTTTGCCCTGTGCTGTGTTTCTTTTAGCTGAGACAACAGCAGTCTGCCACAAGAGAGCAGTGCAGCCTGTTGCCGGTATTTGAGGGAAAATAAATGAGAACATATGTCGGGAACAAAGCAGATGAATAAAGAGGATTACAGGGAAGCGCTGACTGTACAGACAGAACTGAATGTAAAGGTGAGATAGGGCAGATGCTCTCCAGGAGAAAATCCTGAAAGATGGAAACAGTGTAGGTGGGCATGAAAAAGGAAGGGAAATAAAAAAAATAATTGCTGGAAAGCAACCTGGAGAATAGGAAAAATACAGAAAAGAGAAAGAAAAGGCTGGAAGATATAGCTAGAGGATGGAAGTAAAAAGAGACTGTGGCATTTACCCTTACCCCCTGAGCTGGAAGGGAGAGCTGCAGTTTGTGATCCCGGTACTGAGGAAGGACTGGGGGCCTGAAGCTTAGAGCTAGTGCTAGTGCTTTTCAGTATAAGAAATCAATATGCGTGTTTTTATCTTGGTCCTCGTTCTTAATCTACTTTCCATATTGTCATTTGGATGAATTGTATTTCTGTATGCATGCTGCTATTCATCTGTGATTAAAATGATTAATAGAGGAGAAAAAAATAAATTCACAGGATGATTTTCAAAGTGTTACCCTTGGAGAGCATTGTTTCCCCCATAAACATATTTACTGGCGTGTGAGGGTTGTGCCATGGCTTATATAGAATTTATTTCTGTTTCTCCTTTAAAAAATTTAACTCTTAGCAGGATTTGATGCTTTAGTATTAAGCCAAGATGATCAGGTAAATTTCAGCTGCAGAGTGTGGTATTTCCAACTTCTAACTTCAGAAGTACATCATAACCCTGTGGCACAAAGCATATGCAGCTACCACTGTATTTTGGGGGATTGGTGGTGGGGGAAAGGAGGCTGCTTTTTGCAATGAGCAGCTCATGTCCACAAATCCACTGCGTTAAGGATTTTTCTGGATTATTAGTTGGATGTTGAAATCCAATGTTGGGTATTTTTTCCCTTTCTTCTGGTAGCATCTTCCCATTTGTAAAACGTCAGCATGCTGTGTAAAATCTGTGGCTTTCTAATGGTGCTTTTGTGCTTACTGTGACCTTTTGAAATCATTACAATTCCCCCCCCCCCACCAACTCTCCTTACTTAACTGCACATGGGAATAGGGAAATATGAATCCAATTTACTGTTATCCAGGTGGCTTTTCCTGTTAGTGACTTAGCTTTATAGTTTTAGGTACAGTAATTACTATACAGAAAGCTGGAAAGATGCCTGTAATTCCAAAATGAACTCTCTGTAGCTCTCTCCCTCCCACTTGCACTCTCCTTTTAGTACCGCCCCTTCCATGCACCCTGTAGCCAGCAGCAAGACAGCTGTGTTTGATCATAAACCACTTAAACTCCAGGCTCACTGGCAGGGGAAACTTTAGCATGAAGTGCAGCATTGGTTTGTCTCTGGAGGTGGGGGTGTCCTCTCTTTTGCCTTCTCTCTTCCCCAACACTGAAGACCTTGCAGCGCTATTTTTGTATTTTCACTGTGAACTTGTCTGAAGCTCACCAAATCGTTCCGAGTACATTAAACGGCTTTGGGAGATGCTCTCAGACCGAGTTGGAGAAAAGGGCAGCATAAAACGAACGGCAGAGATGAAGCACAACTTACAGATGGACTAGGAGAGCTGGAAGATCCGGAAGCGGTACTTTCCCTGCATTCCCCGAGCACTCCACAGTGCTAACAAGTCTTTTGCAGCAATGGATTGTCTGTGCAGTGGAAACTAATTTGGCTCTTTTAGAAGATCTTGCATCATTAATTTGAACTGTATCAATGTGGAGTGAAAATGGCTGTCTAGAGCAAAATGTGCAAGATAGAGAAATCTTGGAGAGGCAAGAACTATTGAATCTGTTAAACAAAGCTTGGAAGCATTAAAATCTGTAAAAATTGTCAAGCCCTGAAAAGTCTAATCATGAATTCTGGAGTTGCTATGAAATATGGAAATGACTCCCCTGTGGAGCTGAGTGAGGTAAGCAGTTTCAGCGTCCTTCTTTATGCTTTAAAAAAAAAAAAAAAAAAGAAAGAAAGAAAAGCTTCCCTTTTGGGCTTTCAAACTGCGAGCAATGCAATTAAAAATTAATAGAATGTGTATCTTGCTATAACTTGCTATGCCAATCAGGAAACGACCTGAACTTGCTTGCTGCTTTAGTACGATTAAGTAGTGAAAAGCAAACGGTTGTAACCATGTAAAGACATTTTTTTCCTGTAGTCTGGCAGCACGCATTCTCTTACCCCCCAAGAGCTGTGTTTATAGCCAACATTCATCTTTGTGGTAGGTGAAATACGGAGATCTCGGCTGAGATTAAGTGTGTGGTAACTAATTTAGAAGGGAAGTGGGGTGAGCGGAAGATGACAAATATTTATTGGTAAAACAACAGCACTGGCAGAAGTTGTGTTTGATTGTGTTTAGCTAAGATGATGATGTTCCTTTGGATTAGATGAATGTTTCCTTGTCTAAAAGGAGAAAAAATAAGCCATGGGAAACTTTTTACTTTTCCCTTACAAACCATAGTAAGGTGATATTTCTTATAGTTGCAGGTATGTCTGGTTGTTGTACAACATTGTTTGCTTGTTTTTAATTAATTTGAAATTAAGGCCACATCAGAGACTATGCAAATGTTTAATAAATGTGTTAGAAGCTGTATCTTTTCACTGTTATTGAAATGTCTTAGATGTGCCACCCTAATGGGCTTACTTGTCCTGAGAACTGCTAATTTTAGTTATGCTGTGAAACTCTGAGCATCTTATTAAGGTCATTTTGTAGAAACTTGAATCTGCAATCTGTATTGTCCCAGTTTAAATGAAATCCTTCTCTTTTCCTCCTTGTCCATTTCTTTGATATAACTTTTATTGTAACATATCACTTATTTATTTCATAAGTTTTATTAGAAGCATTATGATAATCTTGGCAGAATGAGAAAGTTCACAATTTGTACAGGGGAAAGCAGAGTAGGTACTGAGCCAGTGCAGTATCCTGCCATGTAGGAGGAACAGTAGGTTTGTGACTGTGGAGTTTTAGTGAAAGAAATTTCATAGATGTTCCTACTTTAAGTAAAAAAGAGTTCAGTTTAGTTAACTCTGTGTTACTCTCGCAAATGATTGCTTAAAAACAATATATTGGCACCTCAGCCTAAATGAAGTTCATAAACTCAGCACAAAAGGCCAGGATATTTTTGGTAGCAGTCTGCCATGGTGTTTCTGGCTACAGCTGTATTAATGGCTTATTGATCACTGCTTTCTATCCCCTCAACATTTAACTTTCAGGACTGCGTAGGATCACATAAAACCTGGAGTGTCAATGGGGTTTGATACTTGGATAGTTATTTGGAGCAGGCAGTATTTACTGCTAACACATTTACCTGACTGGACTATTTGAAAGTTTACCAGTTTAAATTTACTTTACTCGTTCACAGGGTAAGACTTTTTTGTAACAAAATATCTGTTATCTTTTTCTTTTGACATTTTAAGGTGGGAAACATCAAAAGAGGTCTGTGACCAGGCACCATGGCACATTTTTGTTTGTTTAATTTTTAAAAATTACTTTAATACTTGGGTTACTTTTGTACTCCAGGGCAACTGATAGGCCCCTTTCTGACTGCAGACAAAGCAGTGAAGATCTTAAACTCTTAACTTCCCCAGCTGTTAATCATCATCTTTACTGATGGTTTCCACCTTTGTGATTTGAGCTGCTTGTGTGAGCATGCTTTAGCCTGTTTCACTCAAAGGTCCAGGTTAGTTTCAATATTGGTCTTTGATAAAGCAGATCATTTTGAATGAATTATGGGCTTACAGCAGCATCATATCCTCCACGAGGGAGGAGCTTTTCTACTGTTGCTGTGAGTACTCTGAGATGCAGTTAGTTGCTCGCCTCTAACCTTTAATTATTCAATGAATTTTTGTCTCCCTGTAGTTTGTATGCTCATATTAGACTTTATAAGGCTATTTGTTTCTACAGAGGTTCTTCAAAATCTTTCTTTTCCTACTAGTGAATTGTACTGTTTTTTCTTGCTGTTATTGAAGATTGGAAGCCTCGGGTAAAGGCTGTACATACATTATTTAACTGTTTTTCTCTCATCTTCTTGATGCTTTTCCCCTTTCCCTTCTTTTCTGTCTGTATCTTCTGTATGGCATGTTTGGTTTTGGTCACTGGAAGACAGTAGCGGCATGTTCATTTAAACAATGGGAGCAAGGTGGAACTGGCTACCACGAGCATTCGATGAGACTAGTGCAGTCTTAGGGGATTTTCACATGCACCTCTCTCTCTACTGCCAGCATGTATTTTCACGTTACAGTGGGCTGTTACCAATATATATGGCTGAACGGCAAATATGGTAACAGACCAAGAACGACCATCGTAAGAACTTGATGCACATTGGTTTGTGTTGTGGGTGCTTGGGTCTCTCTCTGAGTACCAGAAGCTCTAGGTATGAAACTGCTATTATTAAAATAAACAGGAAGACTCCAAAGATTTGGAGATGTAATGCATTCTTCAATGGATGCGTTAGACAAAACAGAAAATGAAATTGTTGCAATGCATTCCGTTTGTATTGAAACTTTTCTTTTTGCTTGAGAGGTACATCCGTCTTTGGAGAAAATGGGTCACAGCTGTGGTTGTAGAAATTGGTGTGTGGTTCATGTTTGCTGTTCCTAAACTCTTGTCCAGGTAAACATAGGTCGTGATAGTCTTTATTTACTCCGCGCCATTCCTCCCTGCCCCCAAGTTCATGCTGAAAGCGAAAAAGAAAAGAAAAAAAAAACCCTTGATTTCTTTCACTGGTCACTCATACTTCTACAAAACTCATGACTTGTTTTTGGTGATCTCGAACTGCAGAGTTCCAGCTATTGTTATCGATGCACATATCAATACCTATTACTGTATTTCCTCTGCTTGCCCTTCAACCTCCTCTTTTTTGTCTCCAAACAAGGAAGGATTAGTCAACGTGCTGTTTGTATGGCAGATTCAGAATGTTGTAACTGCAGAGAGAGGTAAAAAAGCATCGTTCTCATTATACAATAGCAAGGCTGTTAGCTATAGCTGTTAGCATTTTTCTTTTTTATTTTAATATAGGACACATTAGGAGAGGCAAATCTGAAATTTACCAGTGACTGTTGTACCCCATGAGAATGTAGGAGAGGTTTTGATACCTTTGAAAATACAAAGTAATGTCTGACGAAGCTGACTTCTACTGTTACGAAATGGTCTTTTAGTTGTCAATGTTCTGGTCCGATATTATTTGCAGAGTTTGCTTTTTAAGGCTTGAACAAGAATGAATGTGATTTATATGCCATATATGACACCTAAATTAGGTAAGTGCTCTTTGGATCCCTTTGGGGTTTTTTTAGTCATATGATACTGTAAACCTTGAGTGCAGTCATGGAGTATATTTTTAAAGCCAACACTGTGAATGTTATTGAAAGCACGTATAGGTATAGTCCTGTGCACAGAAACTGCAGTTACAGATTTGTTGTTGTGTAGTTAAAAATGAAACTATATCAGAATATATATGCTTAGTACATATTCAATTAGTTATTGTACAGGGAGAAGTATTTGTATGGAAGAAGCTGAATTGCTTAATCTGTATTTTCTTTGTCTTCCAAATTCAAAGATACCACCACCTTTGATGCAGCAAGTCCCTGAGCCTCAAATTGCTTAAAGGGGAAACAGCATTGTGTGGGAGCTTGCCTGGTCCTTATAGCCACTCCTAACCACCCGCTGTTGAGATGGCATGCTGAGGTATAGCGACCTGTAGTGTGACTTAGTACAACTGTAGGGCTAAATCTTGTCAGTAGTTACGCACGTGCCTAATTTTAGGACTGTTCAAATTGGTGGTGTAGGAACAGGAAAATAACGTAAGTACTGTGCTTCATGGTGTCCTTCTCAGTTGTATAGTTAAGGGCTAAATTATATGCTTGGATTAAGGGCTAAATTCTGTTTGTGGATATAATTTTCACTAAAGTGAGTCTCGTGAATTTGCTGATAGTAAAATTATGCCTAAGAGAACTTGTCATGGGCTAAGGGCTGATATTATATTATTGCAATACGTTCAGCACTTCAGGTGCAGCGTTTTTTTCCTAGTGTGATTGTCAACTATGTTCTTTAAGCACTTCTTGTATAAGCTGGTGATGTATAATTTTTGAAAAGGATATATATTCTTTTCTGCACAGCGAAATTAGAAGATACCGTGCTTCTTTAGGTGCATACTTTATGCCTTCTGCCTCTCTCCTTGTGCTTGGAAGTTAGGTCTTTAGAAGGTAAGTGGTGGTGTTTGCGATCTTAGATATAGCTGCGTGTTCTTTAACCCTTTACATTGCCTGGAACAAACAGCTTGGCTGTGTATCTTTGAAAAAGGTTATTTTTATTTCTTGTTTGTTTGTTTTGTTTAACCAGCATGGCATTTACATTTTGGGGGAAGGGAAGAGTGGATTTGAAATCTTGTCTTTGTGTGGGAGATAGAATAGCAAGTTCATAAAAAGGGTTTCACCAAAATCTTACATATAATGCAATATGTGAAGAGACAAAGGGATAGCCAAATTTTAGAGACTTAACTTATAACTTTCTTTATAATTTTAGTGTAGGACAATATTGCACTTCCTTTTAAGATTTATGTTGCATCACTGCTATACTTCAGTTTACACTTTTGAGGATGTAGAAGAAAAGTTATAGAAAGAAAAGGGGCTGTGTGGCTTAAAGTTGCACTCGTGAGACCAGTGAATGAGCCGGAGGTGGCCTGTGGGCTGGGCTGGGTAACCAGTGGGAGAGCAGCATACTGGAGCCGAGCCTTGCTGGCAAGGGAGAAATTCTGCAGTAGCAATCCCTGCCCTGAGGTAGTTTCCCATGTTTTTCTGTTCTTTTAGAACATGCGCCAGCTTGTGCTCATATTGTACATACATGTGAGGAAATAGCACTGAGGAAACCGTACACAGATTTTGTATGTATTTAAGGCTGGGAATAAAACTCAAACACTTGCT